ACGCAGTTCTGTAAGTCAGACCTAAAGTCCTTATTGAGACTAACCTTTATTTGCAGGGATAGTGACTCACAGAAATAAACCTGCAGTCCCATATCTCCTCTGAATTTCTGTCGACTGCGCGCCCATGATCTTTACGCTTTATCATTTAAGTCATCAAGTGTCGGCGTAGAATATGCTGCATGGTCGCGAATATTAAAGACTCCCATTGTCACTTATAAGAAGAGAAGATGGCGATTTCTGGATCGGGTGTCGTACTCCATAGGCATTTCGAATTCTCGCTCGGGTACATCTTCAAGGCCTTCGCATTAACTGCAGTAAGCGGGACATCCAGAGGATGGCACAGTCATCAGGCATGCCTATCAGCTACTCACTTACGTGAACTGTGATGGAATATTTCTGACTGATTTGTGATCATCAATATTTTTTATTCTTTCGACATTTCTGCCGAGGACTACCTTTGTCTCCCCGTCTTACAGAACGAGCTGGTCTTTGGCTTTTCGCGGTAGCCCGATAAGAAATTATTTCTAAACCATCGAAAATCAATTCCGTACAGTTTTAGGCTGAACTATGCGGACACACTGGCGCACAATTTCCGCCTCACCCTGTTCAGTCATACACTAGCAGGGAAAATTCAGTTCAGTTCAGTTCACTTTATTTGAGGGAAATATAGGTGTTGAACCTTTGAACTCCCTATTTGTCACAAGGAAGCGAACTATATCAAAAATTGGAAAATGGAAACACCAAACAGCTACAGAGTGTCTTCAGATTGGCAAAGTTTTCGAAGCCAGACAGATAAACGAATTGTTTCTTCTCATGCAGAAAGTAGTTATAAGCCATTAAGATTAAAAGGTAAACAATACGTTAAAGACTAAACTAAGAGGTGTTGCCAACAGAAACAAGGAGGACGGTGATAGCCATTTCTGGCCAATTTGCCCACGCCAGTCCGTGATATCCCAACCCTAGACGGGACTCAGCGTCTGAGCCCAGGGCAGTCGCTCATCGGGCATTTTTAAATCTATCTTTCCAATAGCTTAGCCAGGGGTCGACGTCTTGTTGTCCGCCGTCGCGAATATTAAAATTCTTGTGAGAATGGCTCCCATTAATGCATCCTGTGTTTTGAATGGGGTGTGGGCCTTCCATCTTGCACGGAGTCCTGGTAGTGAGGCCTTGAAGCCGGGTGGCAATCAATCCGTATTTGACTATCATGATCCAGAAAAAGCGGTTTTTAAAGAACTACCAAACTTGAATGAATGTTAATCTTTTTGCCGGGCGAGATTTCATCATGTGAGATCACCCGACGACTGACTAGGTCATTATCTGTCTTCTACCACAAATCGTGATATACCGGATTTTTTGCGCGAAGTGAAAAACGGCCCACATTACACCAATCCACTTAAGTAATAATCGAGTACTTGCGACGAACTACAGGCCCCTCAGATGGCCATAAATATGTCGCAAAGTCATAAGGAAAACCATCAAAAAGTTATTGGTGAATTATTTGTGAACCCACAACCTCCCGTCCAATGCACAATACGACTTTCGTGTGGGGAAATCCTGTGGAACGAGCTTGTCTTATACCTCCAAATCTGGACAAGAGCGTTCGATGCAAAACACAGCGTGCACGCCTCCTACATAAATTATAGAAAAATCTTTGATAGTGCCCCGCACAAGCGCCTTCTGTACAAGTTGGGGTGGTGGTTCCCAGGGCCAAACTTCCTGAATGAATCGAAGATTTTCTCGTCGGTTTTTCTCAGGTTGTCTCTATAGAGCAACGCAAACAAAGTGAGTAGCCATAGAGTGTGGAGATTCGCAACGTTCATCGCTGGGACCGACCCCCTTTCTTCTTTTTGTTGGTGCTTGTGTGCACAAGTTGGACTGTGAGTGCCCATTGTTTGCAGATTATACGAAAATCTGGAAAGTCATCCACATTGCCGCTGACGAGGCGAAATTCCAAGAAATTTTTTGTAGACTTAAGAATCAGTCCTGTAACTGACTACTGTCATCCAACTGGAAGAAAGGCATCATGGCACGTGTCAGAAAGCAAAGCCCAGTCCCCGATGAACGCATCTAATATAGAAACAGAAGACTACTCCGACGAACTGACGAAGTGATGTCACACAAGAATTACCTGGCGCAGAAGCTATCTCGCCTAAGCCTCTTGCTGTAAGTGACGGGAATTCTCTTCTGCCTGGAGACGATATACCTGGGTCATCCAGTCCACTGTTGCCCTCTTGTTCTGGCAACCACCCGAGCGCACTACAGAACACGTATCTGAATGCGAAGACACGAACCCGTGGGTAGAGGGGAGAGGGAGACGCCAGGACAGGAGCCTGAAGTCACAGCCAGACCTGATGGGTTGCTCGAGACAGTCGGTAGAGAACAAAAGTATGCATCCAAGTGACGACTCCGCAAATCGTCGTCGCCCACATGCAGCGAATTCACCGGAAAGACAAAGTAAGGAGGACCATGCTCGCCAGCAGTGTCTGGTTATTCAGGGTTTGTCGGAATCGAATGCAGTCAGATCTGAAGACCGTGTCTCGGAGGACCTTGCTTCTTTTCATGGTCTACTAAATCAGTTACTCCAGGCAGACATTGAAATAAAGGTTCTGAAGGCATTCCGGATAGGAAAACGGAGTGAAGACAGGACAGCAGCACAACCACCTCGCCCTCTCAAAATTATGCTGGAGAACAAAGAGCAAATAAAATTGATCTTCTCTAAAAAAAACGACCTCAGAAACACACACAAACCGGTTTTTTTCAACCGGACTATTCACCAGCGGAACAGCTGAAACGCCGGGAACTTGTCTTGGAGTTAAAATCAAGACTGAAGTGTGGCAAACACAATCTGGCTATCTTCAAGTGGAAGGTAGTTCGGAAATATATGCCGTTTCAGTGGAACCAGCCTGTAATACTACGAACGACGGCAGCTACTCAGCTAACACACATACCTTCGTTGAACCACCTGCTCAAGTCGGCAACACAAGCAAGCGCGTAATGTCCAGTGATCTGATTGAAACAACGCATATAAATGGAACCCATCAGCCCAGAGAACATGGTGTTCGAGATACCGGAGAAATGCTCGAAACAGTAACAAATGCAACGGGTAATTCGGCTGGCGCAAAACTCAGGTGCTTGTACACGAATGCCCAAAGCCTCATATCGAAACTAGATGAGCTAAAACTTTGCCTTGCCGAGCTGTCTCCAGATGTTTTAGCAGTAACCGAGACCTGGCTGTCCAGGAATATTAGTGATAACGAAGTAGCCTTGCCTGGATACCAGATTTATCGGAGGGACAGGGAACATCGTCAGGGTGGTGGTATAGTTGTGTATGTGAATGAAGGCCTGGCAGTGTCGGAAAACACCACCAAGTTTGCGTGCGACACGGAAGCTATTTGGTTGACCATCAATGCTACCGGTTTCCCGTGTCTCGATGTCCTAACTGTCTACCGACCACCTAGAACAGACCATATCGCCGACACTCAACTATTAGAGCAACTGGAGAAATTTTCCAGTCGACCTAACGTCATGATCATGGGCGACTTCAACGCACCAGGAACAAACTGGCATACCCTCCAAGCATCAGGTCCAAAATCGGCATTCGATTACCATCTGCTGAACAAAATATTAAAGGCGTCACTCACACAACATGTCATGTTCCCAACGAGAACACGTGAAGGACAAAGGGCAAACTGCCTGGATCTGGTTTTTACGAAAACACCAGACAGCATTGACGAAATCACCTCCATGCCGCCTCTTGGCCGAAGTGATCACGTGGTGCTTATGTGGGATTATTCATTATTCTCCTTTTCGCATTCTCCAGACCAAAAAAGACGGAATGTTTGGCGAGGCAACTTCAATCAGATGAGGGCAAACTTATCCGGTCTCCACTGGGACTCGTTGTTTACGGGAAATGCCAACGATGACTGGGAGCTGTTTAAGAATGTCCTTCTGCAGCTTATCAACAACCACTGCCCACTGACTCGTGTAAGACTGAACAAACGCCCTGGGTGGCTAAGTAGCAACATGAAGAAAGAAATCAGCAGGAAGCGCAAATTGTGGAGAAAATACTGCGTCACTGGGCAAGTTGAATATTTCAACACTTACAAGACACAGAGGAACAAACTGAGGAACCTGATCATGAAAACGCGACGGGAATTCGAGAAGAAATTGTTTAAAAAAAGTAACTCAGAACCCAAAATTACTCTACAGTTACCTCCGACGAAGTACAAGGAACAAGCATCAAATCCCCTTAATAAGGACCACTGATGGCGTTGAGATTGCTGATAGTAAGGATAAAGCTGCGCATTTTTCACAATTTTTCCAATCAGTCTACACAAACGAGTCAAGGTTCATTCCTCCCTCCACAGAAGGACTGCCGACCCCAAGAGTCAGCGCTATACTCTTCTCAGAGGGCATTGTCCGAAGAGAATTGGAGGCAGCGAACAAATCGAAGTCACCAGGACCAGACGAGATTCCACCCAAACTTCTCAAGCAACTTGCGAGTGAGCTTTCTGTGCCTTTGTCGATGCTCTTTGAAACGTCATTTGACACTGGAACCCTTCCTATCGATTGGAAGCTGGCGCATATTACTCCGCTACACAAAGGAGGTAACAGGGCAGCGACGACAAATTACAGGCCCATAAGCTTGACATGCATTCTCTGCAAAGTGATGGAAAGGATCATAAAGAGTGAACTGATGCAATTCCTGGAAGTTCACGGCCTACTATCGAAATGCCAACATGGGTTCCGCAAGGAAAGATCCTGCACGACAAACTTGCTGCAATCTCTCCAGAGCTGGACCCGAGCTCTCGACGACAGGCACGCGGTCCACATAGCCTTCATCGACTTCCAGAAGGCGTTCGACATTGTGCCACACCAGAGGCTCATACATAAACTTAAAAAAAATAGGGATCAGTGGCAACTTCCTTAAATGGATTGAAAACTTCCTTGTGGGTCGACACCAGGTTGTCTGCATCGGTCGGGGAATGTCAGATCCGGTTATGGTCGAGAGTGGTGTCCCCCAGGGTTCAGTACTGGGACCCATTTTGTTCCTTATCTACGTGGACGATCCCGCAAGAGCTTTAGACTGCGAAGTAGCAATTTTTGCTGACGACATGAAGATATGGAGTGTAATTCGGGGTCCTGCCGACGAAAACAGACTGCAGATGAACCTGAATCGGTTGGAGGAGTGGTCAAACCGTTGGCTCCTGCGGTTCAACGTTGCCAAATGTAGCATACTTCGCCTAGGCCACTCAGCCAGATCCGCCAGCACAAGAAACTACTTTCTGGGCGGTGCAGCCCTACAAAAGGTCAAAGCCCAAAAAGACCTCGGTGTGCTGACGACGGACAGAGGCCAGACAGGGGCCAGACTGGACACACGAAAGTTCTTCTTCTCCAACAGAGTGCTAGAAGCCTGGAATGCCCTGCCTGTGGATGTCGTTATGTCTGCTTCCGTCGAGGTCTTTAAGAGGAAGCTGGATTTGTGTTGCAGTGTCCACTAAACTACCACCCCGATCTCTGTAACCTCGACAAATTCCGTTATTATAATACTACTTGCTATATTTCAGTAACATTTTAAATTGAATTTATTATTGTATCAGCCCATCGTCTACGCTTACTGACATGCACATATGCAAATTTTGTCCCCGGATATAATATTTATTTCGCTGCACTCGAAACGACAGCTCTACAACTGCTCGTACCACTAAAATTCGAGACAGTTTGTTTGTCTGTACAGACCTGACGCTTTTCCGATTATTTGTTCCTTTATGATACCTTTTCGAGTTTTTGAGATTTTGCAGTTGCTTGTAAACAAATAGGGAGTTCAAAGGTGAAGGCCTACATTTCCCTCAATAAACTGAACTGAGTTCCCTAAAACCATCCGCCCACTGTTCGAGAGTGGCAAAAACCGCAATGTCCGTACTGTACTCCATCAAGCGTGCGTTCATGGACTTTGACGAAGATGCTTTCTCAAAGACATTCGGAACATTCGTCCGGCCGCATTTAGAGTACGGCATACAAGCTTGGAGGCCTGGGCGGTTGAGGATCCAAACTGCCTCGGAAGGGTCCAGAGGAGAGCCATGAACATGGTTAGGGGTCAAAGCTCCTTTCCTTATGCAACTCGTCTAGTAAATTTGAACCTCTTTCCTTTGAGTTACAGGCAACTTCGCGGGGATCTCTTGCAAGTCTTCCGCATTGTTTATGGGTTGGATTGCAGTCTGGCCTTCGAGGACTTCTTTGCTACCACGACCAACCTCCGAGGTCACCCGTTAAAACTGCGCACTCAGCATGCAAGGTTGGATGTACGGAAGTTCTCCTTCTCTGTTCGACTGGTCAAACCATGGAATTCCCTTCCCGCAGATGTTGTGATGTCACCATCCATACAAAGTTTTAGAAAGAATCTTGAAATATTTATGTTTCAAAATGACCAAGAGCGATGAGAAATAGAGCTCACCCCCTGTAACCCGTTCCCATTTTGTCCTACAATTATGGGCGTGTTTGAACTATTTCGGCCCAGTACATTTATCTGTATACCACACATTTTTTACGTTGCAAATAGGGTACTCAAAGGCTTACGCCTATTTCCCTCAATAAACTGAACTGAACTGAACTGCAGGGGCATACCTTCAAACTCCGTGTGCCCCAGGAAGATTTGGTGTGAGAAATTATTTTTCCACAAACAGTTCCGTAGAAGCATGAAATAACCTGCCCGCGGCGATTGTTAAAGCTCAGTCTGTGGAGACATTCAAGTAACGCCTTGGAACCACACGCTGCAGTAGCACTCTACTACGGTAATAAGTTACCCTTAAAAATGCACTTATCTCTACTTCCATTTGCTACTGTAATTTCTTTACACTATTGCAGATCCTCCCGATCCGTACGTAAAAATAAGGAGTTTAGGGACGTAAACCTTTTCCCCTCGAGTACGCTGAACACTGAAATGGACCCCCTAGCATCTCTTGTGTCATCAGCCAGACGGCCAATCCGGTTTCGAAGACAAGCCTTTATTCGCCGTAAGCAAGAGTCATGTCCAGTTTATTGAGAGCGCGAACAGTCAACCAGTTTACGTCTCCGATACCAGGATGAGAAAACCTGGGCTGAATAGTCTCTTTGCCGGAGCCGATGATAGCGTGCTGTAAGTGCGGCTGTTGGCGATAAGTGAGTGGGTGTCCCTATCGAAATAGGAAATGCCGTAATTGCACCCATGTTGGTCATAAAGTCTGACTTTGAACAACCGGGCACGCTAGTCCAATAAACAATTGCAGGCTCTTTTGGGAAAAGATTCCCAAGTACTGCACTGCAAACGCCGGAAATATTCACTGTCATCCCGTTTAACCTCCGACATCGTCACTACACCAGTCGTGAGGTTCTGTGGGGGTCATGCTTGCGGTCATCAGTTCGCCGCTCAATTAGGCAGCTTCGGCTCCCCTAACACGCCTAGCAGCCACTCCTCTCACACGTATGACTTACCCTTCCGCCCGCGAATACTGTGACGTTGATCGACACTTCAGTCTCCATCGATTGGTGGAAGTCGTGCAGATCTGATTTACAGGCCCGCATTTCAAATCAGCACTAACAACTTAAACGGCTGAAACTGCTTGTGAAAACATTTGCAACTTTTTTCTGAAGTGTCGCGTGAACGCTAACTAGCCTCAATAAATATTATCTCTCCTGGCTTTCGATTTTGAACTTCTCCAGTTTCCAAGCATCACACTTCGAAATTTTCGTTGTTTAACTACACGTTGCCTGACAAAACATGACCTGCGATTTATCTTGGACAATTTTGTGTACATTTCTTCGATTCATCACTGGACTGAGACTCACAAATGGTCACGCATCGGAATCGTGGCCCTTCTTAGAAGTCATATAGTTTCACAAGAACGGAGCTAAGAACGTCCCGTTGTTTCCAGTTACACAAGAGAAGGCATAAATTAGTTGCACTGTTTCTGGCTAAAATTAGTGCTACAAACCGTTTGTCGAGTTTGTTGCTGGGTTCTGCATATTAATAAGATCTTCGCACTTTTGTCAACCCGAGCATCCACGCATCAGTGGGAATGCTGAAAATGGGCACAAGCAAAGGTCTGCCACTTCGCCGTAACTCTTTATATCAGAGTTCTCTGAACCTTTGCTGCAAATATGGCAATAAAGGCTAAGCAGCCACTGCAATTAACAAGATTTGTCTCTCATTTGCGCAGATGTCACTCCCTAGGTTGATATTATTTTAGCAAGATACAGCTTTATTGAGACAATTTCTTGTCCGTTTTGTTCTCTCGGATAGTTTTGTGAAATTTGTCTTAATTAGCCCTTTTAAGGTCGTCAGTTTGTCAAGTTTCATGTCTATTTTTTTCTCGATGGGTGACTTATACCCGTCTTTCTTTTTGTCATTTCCCTTTTGTTTAAACATGCGTGCGCTTGTTCACACCTACTTTCCCTGAAATACACTGATACTGAAACTTTTGTCTCCTGCATTGTTTCGTCCCCTTGGCTGTCCCTTTGTATGTCACTGAACTTTCTACAGGGCACTCCGTCGCCCAATTCGAACTTTTTATTCATATAGTTTCCTGCAGGAAAGCTTTAAAATACCCCGAACTCTTTCAATTGCTAGGTAAACCTGTGTTGCGATTGCACCCTAGTAAATATAACAACGTCTGGTTTCATTAACTAGGCTCTATGCGAGGCGGGAAAAGCTAATAAAACGCTTTGCGCTTGCGCTGTAGCAGATACACTTGAACGGTTGTTTTAATAGGCAAGGGCGCTAGTTTTGATAGCAAGGGTGCCTGGTGTCTGGACACTATCTGTCTGCATTCTCTTGTGTTTCAGTTGAAGTGCGCGAGGAAGAAGACTCCCCCTCCCCGGTGGCAGCATCCAACTCCACCTTCCCTGGACAACTGTGAAACTAACGTTTGTTGGACTATTAGATTCCTCCCTCTGTTTTGCCCTCGTTTTACGTTCCCCTTTTTGCCCTTCCTCAATAAGCCTTGGAGTACTACGCGGCTTATCGTGTGCTTGAGGATTGTTATTCGATAATGAACACTTGGAAGGACGATCCTAACGGTTCACAAATTGGACAGAGTGCCCCAGTTCCCGCCGCTCCGTCTCAGGCGACCCAGAAGGACACTAGTGAACCCTCGGCCACCGAACCACTATTGAGGTCGGACGCTACAATGGTGGCAGCGAACGAGCCGAGCCCACAGCCTAAAAACAGTGCAACAAACCCTGTTCCCTCTTCTTTTAAACCCTACGACGGGAGCAAAGATTTTTCGTGCTGGCTGCGCCGCCTTAAGTTCCATCTAGACGATGTTCCACAAAACGAACGCAGCCGTACGGTGCTTCAACATCTTGCAGACGACCAGATGGATAAGGCACTCGATGCCGGCCTCACCCGCCACACCCCTTTCCAGGTGCTGTGCGACCAATTGCAGAGGCTATTCCAACCCCCATTGACCATTGAGGAAGCCCTTGACCAGTTACTAAAACGGGCCTTAAGGAGCGATGAGACCCCTCGGCAGTTCGCCGACGCCTTACTTCGGCTTGCACGTGACGCCTTCCCATCACTTTCAGCGGCTGATAGAGACCAAGTGGTCCTTTACCACTTCAAACGCGGACTCGGGTCCAAGGAGGTGACGTATTCCCTGGGAATTCAGCCACCGGGCGACCTCAACGAAGCCATCCAGCGGGCATCCCGCATGCTAATAACCGATGCCCCAACAGGCGATAACCACCCCCGGGCTGAACCGTGGAAATCCACGCCAGACTGCAGGCAATAGGACAACACCTGGACCAGACCGCACTATCAGCCTCCACAACGATTCAACCGCGGTAGCCGACACCCCACGTTCCGCACGCCCTATCGACCCCCACCGCTCAACACTGGGCCAAGACAATTCCGGGTGGATAGAGACAGTACTGCGGCGGCGATTACCAAGGAAGGTAACCACATCATTCCCGTCTGCTTTGATAACGCGTCACATAGTTTACCGTTTTACACGACAATTTACCTAGACGGCAAACCCATTAAGGCTCTAGTCGATACAGGCGCCACCACGTCCTTAGTTCGGGCAGACGTACTAGGCTCTAAGTGGCTTAATCTCGCCCGACAAAGCGGTCGCTCACCATACCTCAAAACCGCAGACGGGTCACCCATGACCACGTTAGGGATGGTTCGACTGCCCATCTCCTTCCCAACCAGTGTTAAGGAACAAGCGTTTGTCGTCACTCACAGGATGTCGTGGGACATGATACTCGGCCTAGATTTCCTTTCTGCGCACAACTGTTGTATTATGGTCAAAGAGCGCATACTATCCTTAGGGCATAAGCCACCGCCTAACCACCCTACAGCCGCCGGGTTTTACGAAGAAGCCACCTGCGCGACCATCGCAGCGTCGGTAGCCTTACCGCCGAAAAGCGTGGACACGGTCTTACCCCCAGATGATACGGTCGCCCTTACCGACAAGGCAGACTTGAAGTCACTTCTGACTGCGTTTAGCGATGTTTTCGCATGGGACGCTACCTCCATAGGCCGCACCGCTGTCATCCGTCACAGCATTGACACCGGCACGTCGAAACCTCTGTGGCAACCACCACGCCGCATTCCACCACACTTTCAGAAGGAGGTGAGCGACCTAATTCAAACGATGCTGACCACAGGGATAATCCGCCCCTCCAAGTCGCCGTGGGCATCGCCAGTCACATTAGTGCCCAAAAAAGACGGCAAACTCCGATTTTGTATAGACTATCGGCGACTTAATGCGGTCACCACCCGCGATTCGTTTCCACTTCCAAGAATTGATGTCACACTCGAAGCGCTTGCCGGAGCCCAATGGTTCTCAACGCTGGACCTGAAGTCCAGTTATTGGCAAGTTGAAGTAGAACCTAAAGACCGCCCAAAAACAGCGTTCATACTACCACAAGGACTGTTTGAATTCGAAACTATGCCGTTCGGGCTCTGCAACGCAGCCGCCACCTTCCAACGGCTGATGCAGTCCGTCCTGGCTCACTTATACCCTCACAGCTGTTTAATATACCTTGATGACGTGATAGTGTTTGGACGCACGGCCCGGCAACATAACGATAACCTCGCCGCAGTGCTCTCTGCTCTCCGCGACGCCGGCTTGCGTTTAAATCCACAAAAGTGCAAGTTTCTGTGCCGGGAAGTCACATTTCTTGGCCACGAAGTTAGCCCGCAAGGCATACAGGCGTCACAGGAAAAAGTAGAGGCAGTCAGATCATGGCCTACGCCGAAGACCCCAACTGAAGTCAGAGGCTTCCTCGGCCTGGCCTCCTACTATCGCCGCTTTATCCTCCACTTTGCGGAGCTCGCACGTCCCCTCCATCGGTTGACCGAGAAAGGCCGTCCATTCGCATGGTCCGACGATTGTCAACAGGCCTTCAATGAGTTAAAAGCAAAACTCACTTCGGCACCGATATTAATGCTACCTGACACGAGTCCTGAGGCTCCTCCCTTCATACTCGATAGCGACGCCAGCGGGTTCGCGATCGGGGGCGTACCCTCACAAGCCGATGAGACAGGGGCCGAGCGACCGATTTGCTTCGCGAGCAAAACCCTATCGAAGCCCGAGCGAAATTATTGCACCTACCGACGAGAATTGCTAGCACTGATCACGTTTATCAAACAATTCAAACCATTCTTAGTGGGAAAGCACTTCATTGTCCGCACCGACCACAAGGCCTTACAGTGGTTACAAAACATGAAAGAAGCCGAAGGCCAGCTTGCGAGATGGCAAGAACTACTGCAAGAATTCGATTTCACCTGTCAATATCGACCAGGCCACCAACACGCCAACGCGGACGCCCTTTCTCGCCGCCCAAGTGAGGCCGGCACAGCAGACTCAGAAGTAACGGATGAACACATAGCGGCGGTTACAATCAGCGAACCCACTCGTTATCATTAGGCAGTGGCACAAAGTACCGATCCGGACACCGCAATAATTTACGACCACCAGTTGCATGGTCGACACAGACCAACAGAGATCGAACTTCGCGGCTCCTCGGAGGTCGCCCGCCTCTTGTGCCACCAATGGGCCAACCTGTTCGTTGAGAATGAACTACTCTTCTTTAAAGACGCAACATCCACCCGGCCGCGGCTAGTTGTCCCGAGTAGCCTCGTCATACCTGTCCTCACAGACTTACACCACGAGTTGGGACATGTAGGAGTGACTAAAACGGAAGCGGCCGCTAGGCAGCGCTTCTGGTGGCCCCGCCTCAGAGAGCAGGTCGCCAACTTCTGTAACGCGTGCTCCACCTGTGCCTCCTTCAAGTGCACCATCCCACGAAATCGTGCACCCCTACAGCCTATGATTACAGGCTTTCCTTTTGAACGGGTGGGTGTTGACATAGTCGCCCTATTGCCTTACACAACTTCCGGCCATCGCTACATCTTAGTGTTGGTCGATTATTTTACGAAGTGGGCTGAGGCCATCCCCTTACATCGACAAGACGCAGCTTCGGTCACCAATGCGCTGCTAAAGGAATGGGTCTGTCGATACGGCGCACCCTTTTCACTTCCCTCCGATTGCGGAGCCAACTTCGAAAGCCACCTTCTGCGCGAAGTCTGTCACCTGCTCCTCATCCACAAGACTCGAACTACACCAACCCACCCAGAAGGCGATGGCCAGGTGGAGCGTACAAACCGAACCATCATTAATATCCTGAAGGCTTTCGCCGAGGACCACCACCCACACGATTGGGATGTGAAATTGCCCTTCGCCATGATGGCCTACAGAGCCGCCATTCACTCTTCAACGGGCCACGCCCCATTCTATATGTTGACTGGCCGCCAATTCCGACTACCGGCGGACTCAAACGTCCCTGCGCAGCAACCGACGGCCTATACAACCGACAACTACGTGATAGAGCTACAGGAGCTACTAAGACTCACGCACAACCTGGCCCGCACACAACTCCGCAACGCCTTTGACAGACAGAAGACCTATTTCGACCGCCGGGCACACGGGCTCCCCTACCACATCGGCGATTTAGTGCTCCGCTATCGGGCGGTTCCGCCTGTTGGCACACCGGCCAAATTCTTCCATCCGTGGGAAGGACCGTTCGTGGTCACCGACGTCATTTCGCCCACTACCTACATTATCCGCGACGCCCTCACCCACGCCGGCCCCACCATCACTGTACACTTCGACAAGTTAAAACCTTACCACGGCAGCCTTCCCGTAGCGTCAAACGATACCCTACCCATCCTCCCTCCCCATTTAGTCCCCTCGCCTACCAATGAAGTGGAAGTCCCTCCCGACCCACACCCCCCACCAGAACCCGAGGACGGGGCACTGCCTAGAGGGGGGGGGGCAGTTGTAGCAGATGCACTTGAACGGTTGTTTTAATAGGCAAGGGCGCTAGTTTTGATAGCAAGGGTGCCTGGTGTCTGGACACTATCTGTCTGCATTCTCTTGTGTTTCAGTTGAAGTGCGCGAGGAAGAAGACTCCCCCTCCCCGGTGGCAGCATCCAACTCCACCTTCCCTGGACAACTGTGAAACTAACGTTTGTTGGACTATTAGATTCCTCCCTCTGTTTTGCCCTCGTTTTACGTTCCCCTTTTTGCCCTTCCTCAATAAGCCTTGGAGTACTACGCGGCTTATCGTGTGCTTGAGGATTGTTATTCGATAATGAACACTTGGAAGGACGATCCTAACGGTTCACAAATTGGACAGAGTGCCCCAGTTCCCGCCGCTCCGTCTCAGGCGACCCAGAAGGACACTAGTGAACCCTCGGCCACCGAACCACTATTGAGGTCGGACGCTACTTTCCCTGAAATACACTGATACTGAAACTTTTGTCTCCTGCATTGTTTCGTCCCCTTGGCTGTCCCTTTGTATGTCACTGAACTTTCTACAGGGCACTCCGTCGCCCAATTCGAACTTTTTATTCATATAGTTTCCTGCAGGAAAGCTTTAAAATACCCCGAACTCTTTCAATTGCTAGGTAAACCTGTGTTGTGATTGCACCCTAGTAAATATAACAACGTCTGGTTTCTTTAACTAGGCTCTATGCGAGGCGGGAAAAGCTAATAAAACGCTCTGCCCTTGCGCCAGTCATGGATTCGTTTGGCTCGGTAGTTGCCGCTTTTTGCTTTGAATAATGCCAATAGGTTGACGCCATTAAAGAACCCAGGGGCTTTATCCGTATATTGCAGTTGGTAATTTTTCTGTTACTTATACTTATGTCCTAGATATTTGTGATATGTGCATTCGCGACAACTTGCAACTTTTCCGGCGATATCAACATTTCTGCTAAGTGCCTAAACAATCAGACTGTTTCAGGAAATATACCCGTCTTCTATCCTTTCAGGTTCCTTACTTCTTATTTGCTCATTGTGTAGTTTTTCAAACGGGAGTAACGTGGCCCCAATATGCACTCGCACAAATCCCATGTACGGCGACTTTTCTGCCAGCGCTCGGTTTTTCGTGTTTGTTGGTGTCATCTCGTTTCTTTATTGTATTGCGATGTTGCTGCTATACACTGTGTTACGCAACCATTACGATTCGAGTGACCAAATTAAGAAAGCTGTACGTCGAAGTTTTTGCTCACTGTTGCTGTAGGATTTTCTCTCCAGTTCTTTCGTGGTTTTGCTCTGGTTTCTGGCGTCTGTAGTGTGGGCCAGTGGGGTAGATCAGCTGAAACGCTACACTACGGAATATGTCATTTCTAAGGAGTTTTGCGAAGGTCTACCTTCGTGCCATGTGGAAACCTTGCAAACATACGCAGGTCTAAATATATCCTTGGTGAGTCCTTTGTTGCCATTAATTCCCGTGGCTGCTAATTTTGTTTTCATTTGACTTTTTTCCTGCCTCAAATTGCTTAGTCACCTGTCCTCTTCTATGTCTTGGCTTGTTCAGTATCGACGACTCCGCCGCAGATTGACGTCTAGGCTCTGTGGATGCCCCGCATCTTTTTTCTCAAATCACAGCAAATGTAACTAGTTAACTGTTAGAATAGTAGTGGTTAAAGTGCGATTCCTAGGTGGCATATCAAAAAAGAAGGGGCATCCACCGGGAGAACGCCTCCTCATCTTTTGATGTTTGAATGGTGTTCGGGGTTTTGCGAAATGGCTAGCCAAATCATTTGTTCCCGTGTGTCCAGATTGACAGAAGACGAATGCACTGTCTAGCGGATGAGGTTGCGCTATCTGAACACGGCTAATAAGATGCGGTAGTTGTCCACTCAGTAAAACTCCTAAAGCTTGAAGCAGCGCTCGGTAATCGGATCGCATCGCGATGTACCAGGCGAGCGCTGTGATTTTTGGAACATTTACACAGACTTCGCACCTTTGACTTCTCTGAATTAACTTAAGGCGGCGCCTTCTCTATTTGGGCAGTCTTTCTACTGTCCACTTAGGTCGCATTCCTCCACCCACTTTAGTCCGAGACAATGAAAGATACGGCGTCTCCCATCAGCCGGTGGCATGTCCGCACTATCTTGCCCATTTAGTCCTTCCTTTTGCGATTCATCTAGATGTTACGTGCTCTGGTAAATAGCAGTGCGTGTCTTTGTAAGTCAGCTCCAGGTATTTTGTAACTTGCTATAAATATGTCTTGGTTTCGTGTTGTCGGTGCTGGGCCACATCTGCAGGAGGTCCAATCTGACAGCTTACGAAACTTAACCGAGTACGTGACTGGCGGGTTCTATCCGACTGCACTCTCATATTTTGTATCCATAAAGCATCTCTACATTTATTACCTTTTAATAAGACATTTTTCGTGTTCTTATTATGGCTGATGCCCTCCTAATCCTGGAACATGGGCAAGCAAGTAGGATTAGACGTCGTGGGCGTTCTCCGTACATCCACTAGAATTGCTGTTACTTATCAACCAAGCTTGCCCTCTGTGTAATAGGCGATATACTGTACATCTTGCTCACCTGCTGAACGGTTCAATGCATCAATTTATCGAATTTTCGCGACCTCCCCACTTATTGGATGCTTCCAAGACCGGTGACTGCGCCGAACTACTTGTCACTATGGTCAGGTTAATAGACCCAGATCCCCGTTTGCAGCATATCCGTCAAGGTTACAAATATCCGCCACTCGTGCCCAAAGTGCGTTGCCTCTTTCACAGATGGCAGTCGCTTGGCCGCATTCCAGTGAGCTACATAAGTTACACTTTTTACCGGTTTTCACATCCGTTATTGCGAAGTTATCCAGGTCATTGGAACTCTAACTTTTTTCGATATGTCTGGCTGCTCTCTCACTAATGTGCTGCATCAGTATTTCTATTGCCTACGCATCTCGTGAGTCACTTCTTAAAGATGAGCCGAGTAAACCATTTGCCGTTGTCGTTTTAAAAATTGAGACCAACCATTCTGTTTCCATATATGGTGCCGGAACCGCCTGTACACCTTCATCCATTGTATTCGCCTACTTCCACTATGGGGTCATGTTTGGTGGTACGACCAACAAATCTAACTAGTGACACGATTCCTTTACGTCCTGGTCATCGTGATAAGTTGGTACTTACGTGTCACTCCCTCCCAAAGACATACTGGCATTGTGCCCGTCCGGGTCGTTTTTGTTTCCAGTATCTTTTGCCTCGATATCTAAGTCTCCTCGATCTTGAGTCGAGCATCCGAGTTTCTGAAAAGTCACTCGTAGTACGGACCGCGTCAAGTTGGGCTGGCCGCCAGGTTCACAAACATGTGATTTTCCAGCAGGCCAAGGTACCACCATCTCTCTGGATTCCTGTTATTCGTACGCTGTCTACGCTGGCGGCTGAATCATTTTGGGCACATTTTAACGACCCCTCAAGCAGTGGCATCAGTCCGGTCCTCATTGGAAACCTCAGTTGTAGTGTGATACTGCGGGAAAACTTATTCTAAACTGATTTATCCGAGCGGCCGACGGATTATTTATTATTATTATATTATTCATAGATGTTTTGGCAGATTTTGAATACTTCATATTGACCCAACTGTGAAAAACTCGGCGCCTCGGTGGGATTCGAACCCACACAGTAAGGGGGAGATTTTAGTACAGCCAACGCTCTAACCACTTGAACTACGAAGCCCCGCTGGACGACGCGAGTTTAATCACATTTGGGTTAATTCGCCCGCCCAACCTACTGCAACGTCTAGAATCCACCAAATATGATACAGTAAGTTGACTGCCCAAGCAGGATTCCCTAATTAATTCATCTAGAATTCACCGTATGACTACCAGGCTCACGTAATTCATAAATGTGGTTAGAGCGTTGGCTGTACTTCAGCCGTTCCCTTACTGCGTGGGTTCGAATCCCACCGAGGCACCGAGTTTTCCATAGTTAGTTCAATATGTATTATTATCTTGCATGGCATCTTGAGCTCCGCACAGGCACATAAATCCGTTTTCAATCCCGTAGACTCAAGCCACACGCGCTGCTTGCAGCACCCGTTATTTCCTCTTGCCATTCGCTGTTCGCCGTAATGATCCAAAACCAAGTTCGCCTGTTTTCCGTTAACTCTTGGATCCCCTATAGCATTTCTATGAAGACAGAACTCTCAGACGGTTCTTTAGTGTACATCAGTCCGTCTGTAATTTGAAAAGTTCGCGCTTGACCAATTCGTAGAGTTAAGGTCGCCTAGGGTAGATTAACCCACTACGTGAACTTTTCATTCACGATCTACTTATTTTTTAGGTGTTTGGCTTTGCAAACATTGCTCTTTGGGCGTCGTCTCTGTGGTTTCTTTGGAAGGAAACACCCTGGCACCAGGGCAATGGTAGTGACCTTCTGGAGGACTCTGCTCTTCCGGCAGTTGATGGTGCTCCCCTGTAGACTGTTGTATCAGCTCTCCCCGAGTGTTTGTCTTAAGTGTTCCACACTTTCCTTGTATCATTCTTCACGGTATTGTGAATTTTCGACAACCCTCTAGCTTTCTAGATTTTCTTTCACCCTCAGTTTTGAGTTTTCTCTCCTCCTTCCCCATTCTCCCTCTCCTCTTGAAGTTAAACACCTAAAACTCAATAATTATGCTCTCCACTGGTGCTCCATTGTCATTTTCTGATTATTCTACTGTTGCTCTGGTGTCGCCTTCCTCCGTCACAGGATTTTCCTCTGATTTCTCCTGAACGACCTGTCATGTTCTTTTTTTGACTCGGCACGCAACCTTATGAGAAATTGTGATCCAAGCATTGTACCATTTGTGTTTTAAAGCTTTTTCCCTGACTTTTGTTGAGAATAAAAGCTTTGGATATGAAGTTTCGGTCACTGATAAACCTGCCTGACACGCCCGAAGGAGTTCTTCACTTTTATCATTTGTACCGCTTTCGAGCGATGCTCGCGACACGCTCGAGTTTCTGTGTATTTTATTCTTTGCAGTCACCGTCGTGAGACGGCGTTTCATGATTACAAAGAAGGTCATTTTGAAGTCGTCTGCCTTAATTTCTAAAGTGATTTTATGGGACCGGCCGAATTTACGTCTTCGTTAAAGCGTACAGATCTTTTGGTTTGGCCTCAACTGCGGCGTGTAAATCTTACGAGCAAGTGGACATTTTTCATGCCCTCATGGGCGACAGCAAGGTTAGGGCATTCCTGTCGTCTGCCAGCAAACCTACAGTATACTGTTGGGTGCCGGGGCATGTACGTCCAGTTCGCGTCGGTAGACGTGGGACATCGATTTGCATGTTACCATGCCCCTTCAAAGAGCAAAGGTCAGACATATGAGGCCTTACTGCTGATTGGCCTGTGGAAAAATTCCGAGCTGCGGGCACAGCAGAAAGTGGGCACCAGGGGCCTCGGACTTTGTGTTCTAGGGAGGGGGGGGGGGGTTGTTCGCATCTAGTTAAATAAGAGGAAGGAGGGAGTCTGGTGCTTTGTCGAAGAAGCGTTGGGTTGGCATTTCCACGACAACTCACTTGTGTTTATTGGCCGACTGCATCTGAGTCACCCATTTGTCCGGGGGTGGACGTAAATCGGCCAGCAGCGTACACGTTTACGGCGATCGCTCAGCCATCTGGTGCGAATTTCGCATTCGGCGTACAAAAACGCGGGCGGCCAGTTGTTAGTTAACCTAACACTGGGCCAAGTAGTGTAATTTTCTTTAAACTTGCCGGATATTCATAAATTAACGGGATCTCGGTTCCGGTTCGTCCCTACGTCGTTCTAAGCTCTAATTTTGGCCAAGCCTGAATGCTGCTCTCTTACAGAAGCTTTATAGTGGATGATGAACCAAGAGCCTGTGCATAAACACTAAACATCTTAAATCGATGGCATGCTCTCTTTAGATTACCGTCCGCTCTTCTACATAGAAACCTCCCAAACCCACCGTTATGCATGTGAACAGGTTCGACTTTGTTAGTCCTTTGAGTTGTCTTAGCGTTCGTATCGTCTCCCGTCTATTTTTATACATGTCCAGATGAAAGTGTCATTCTAGGACTATGTATGAGAACCCGGTTCTGAGCGTTTCTCAAAGTTTTGAACTTTGCCAGTCTAAAACAAGCGTGGACAATACGACTTAACGGCACCAGAGATTCTGTTATTGTTTATCAACTGCTATCGCCATCCCTTAAGATGAATAACAAGTAAGGAATACGCGACAAGTCGAATCTCCTTCTACGAATGAATTTTAAAACACTCACGTCACAGTTCGGGATGCAGTCTAGTCGATGAAAAGGGTCGCTTAAAAACAAAGTGATAAATGTCAGGGCGTTCAGTGGTAGAAGAGGCCGTTCTAGGCAACTTCTCAGCCGACCTGGCTGCCAGTTGCCTTTGAGTCCGCCCAATATACTTACATCCGCATATGCCAGTCCGACCGTCGGAATCGACGAGGTCCACCGCGTGCTCCACAACAGGGTAAGAGCAGGGACGGTAACTCTTACGTGAGTTATTTAAAGTGGTATTGTACCTTCACTGCATCCGCCGCACCCTCTTTGCTACCTAGATCCGGTTGAAATAGGGGCGGTTGGAGAGGCAGTGTTTAGGGTTGTCGGGCTAGTGCGCTGAGTCCGGAGATATCCCACAAGGCTGATCCGCGTTGACAGCGCGGGATTCAAGAAGACCGGGGGCGGGAGATGGCGCAGGTGGCCGACACGGCTAAAATCCGCACCTGGGCGTATCATCACACCCTCTGGTCCACAATGTACACTGACCACGATTTTATACAACAAGAAAAAGGGGGGTGACTCTAGTCCCATTGAGTGGGAGTTGCATCGAGGCCACATTAAGAAGGAGCCATTGCAGCCTGACTCAGTCCACCAGTCAGCCTTTCCACACAAGTACACACTGGGCTGACTGGCGAAGTCCCAGTTATCCGTCAGTCGGTAACCGTCTAAGCCACTGCTTTTGGCGAACCGTGATAGATTCAAGCACGTCAGATTGTTTATAGAGAGGGATATGCGTCAAGACCGTTGGCCTCTCCCAGACACCAGTCCACTCTCCGGATCGACCAAATGTCTGATGTGGGAAGTGGGCGCTGTGTCTGACAGATCTAGAGAGCCTGCCCGCGCACCAAATTCACGACCTACCCCCTCCAAAGCACACGCCAGAATCAAGCACACAAGATGGAGGCGGTCCGGACCTCGCATGCGTGAGAGAATACCATTAAACGGAAACCATCGCATTCTGATTCCCAGTCCACCAGTCGGCCACTTAACTCGCAAACACACAACTGGGCTGAATGCCTGCTCTGAGTTGAAACATCAGTTGGCTCGTGGCGTTGGTGCGTCTTCGGTAGTGCAATGGATTTGCAAGTGACCGACCAGGTCGATGCATGAGGTGAATGTTCAGTCACATTTAGGACAGGGTAGCACTGAGTCCACAGCGCTGGAGGTGGGGATGGTAATGATGCGGGTAGTGGTTGGCGGGCCGTCAGTAGCGTTTCGGCCAATGGTGGGAATGGGCGTTGTGGTGGTCGTGGCAGGGATGATGTAGATAATCGACGGTAGTGAGGGCGGTCGTCATAAGGGTTGAAATAGGGGCGGTTGGAGAGGCAGTGGTTAGGGTTGTCGGGCTAGTGCACTGAGTCCGGAGATATCCTACAAGGCTGATCCGCGTGCGGAATGTTCGTTGACAGCGCGGGCATGTTTGGAAGGATTGGAGGTTGGCGTTGCGGACCACGGGCACATAAGACTTAAGAGCTTCCCTTTTGGATTTGGTAGCGGCGAGCCGGTTGGCTTAATCGATGACTGCTCCAGTGTTCACTGCTTTTTTCAGGCCGGTCGGTTCTGTTCCCCAAGTCTTCAAGTTGATTTTTAGCCGTTCTGATGAAGGCTTCAAGGTGTCCTTGTAGCGACGGGTTCGACCTCCTTACCAGCGAGCACCCTTGGCGATATCTCAGTAAAACAATGTTTCGGTAGGCGATCATCGGCTATTCTCACGAGGTGGCCGCTCCATCGTAGTTGCAGTTGCCCCAGCATGGCGTGGATGTTGACGATTCCAGTCCGTTCCAAAACTTCTTTGTCGGGGATTTTGTTCTGCCACCTCAGTTTTCGCATCCGGCCGAGACAATTGAGGTGGGACTGACTGAGTTTCTGCGTTGTTTCTCTTAGACCGCCCAGGTCTCCGCGCTATTCGGCGAAGTCGTTAAGATGACCGCCTTGTACATCTTCAGTTTGGTGTTTGGAAGGAGAGTGTGCTGCCTAAATAAGCGAAGTTGTCCAGGGTCTTCAGTTCGGTTGGGGGGGGGGGGCGGTTGATGCATGACCACTATTTTGTCAACGTTGGTAGCCAGCCCAAGGTCGGCGCAGCCGGAGGCTCAGAGTCTCATGCTCCGTCGCATGTCAGCGTCTGTCACGGTGTTGAGCGCGCAGTCGTTCGCGAAAAGCAGGTCGTAGACATCAATCGTAATCAGATGCGTTCAGGCCTGAATTCACCGGCTGTAGAGAAGATGGCTGTCGGTACTGTGGGCAATGCGGATCTCTTAGAACTTGTTCTTCGCCCCCATCGTATCTGGTCTTAGGGCGTCATAAACGTTGACGATAGTGGCAAGTTTGTCTCCCCGAAGAGGCGGGCGTAGGCTAATGGGGCGGTCCTTGATGCCCTGCGGCAGACAGGACAGTCGTCCTACGATACTGTTCCGGATGGCAAAGGCGACGCCTTCGTCTCGTCGCACAACCTTTGGGTTGCTGCTCCAAAGGAAGATGTAGCTAGCACCCATATCCTCTATTTGGCCTTTCTAGAGAAGCGGGTCTCGCTAAGAGCAGCAATGTCCACGTTGTAGTACGCCAGTTCTCGAGCGACTGGCGTCATCCTCCATTACGACCTGCTGCTGATTGGAGTATTTAAAAGGGAACAAACATTCCAAGTTGCCAGAGTGAGCGGACTTACTCTAGTAGTCTGTGGAGTGGGCGGAGGTGGGCGAGGGTGGTTGTTTTTCGTTGTCGTTTTTCGACCGCGAGTTTTACCTCTACGAGCCACGGTGTACTAACAGATGGCGGGCCCGGCAGTTGTTCAGGGCACCAGTTCTAGCCGCTACCCCACGAGGGGGTATACACTGGTGATAGTAGTCTTTGGGTGCTATTTATAGTAAGAAGTGGACCCCAGCCTCTTCGTCGTTGTTAAAGTTCGTGATTACACCCTTGAAATACTTTCTGTAGAGTATTGTCTTTTCAATTTTAATGATACTGTCCATCGGGATGTCGACAAGAGGTTAGAGAGAGTGGATTTCTTACTGCTTCTCCGCCACTTTGTTTGTGTGGATGTCAATTAAATAGGAACTGGACATTTTACTGGGCAATGTTGACAAATAATGGGGCACTTTAGGTAACAGCCTAGTATCCGACGCATGAGTGCACATGCCATCTATTGTTTCATCAAGTGGTATATTTACAAATGCTTAT